TATGTAAATTTTATCAATTATAAAATTCACCTAAATTTTAATATAATTAAAATCTATTTATTTTGCAACTAATTATTTTTTTCAACAATACTGTTCATCACTTACCAGTTCCGATATTCGGCAGCGTCCGAAGCATCCCAAGGTATCCAAAAGACACGGGATATTGAAAAAGGAAATTGTGTGCACGTGTGAATGCAGATAACACTCGCATTTTATTACTTTAAATAACATCAACTTTACTCGATTACAATTCGATCGTACATCGTGATCTCTTACTTATATCTACTTGCGCATCATCGCCTTTCTATCTTCTCTCAAGCGACACGCGCGCACGCGTGCACACACACACACACACACACACACACACACGCGCGCGCGCGCGCGCGCGCGCACGCACACATTCGCACACGCGCCCATACGTGCAGCTCACTCGCATGATACATACATACATACATGGATAATCGCACTCATGATCACTCTCGGCAATTCGTCTTAGTTAGTTGTGCAACGTTAGGTTTGTCCGCTAAAATACACGAAGGAGAACTGGAGAGGACCAGATGATGGCCATTAATTATCATACTTTGTGGCGCGCGCTCGGTTCTCCTTTCATTCATTCGCTTCTTCGATTGCCCTTCTGCCTCCTTCTCGTATGCGCGAGTTACGTGCGAGTGCGTAATTTGTGCAAGAGTCGTTTACGACTAACATCTTATCCGCAAAAAATTAATTCTTTAACTTTGGTCGAATCGCAGCGTTCGTTTCATACAAAATTTCTTAAGTTTTCGATCGCGATTAAAAAAAAAAAAACTCTGCGAGTTTTTGGGAATAATGACGGCGTGTGAGGAAGAAAAAGCAACTTCCGAAAGGAAAAGAGAAATGAAAGAAGATCTCGTGCTATTGTTCGGAAGCTGCGCGTTTGTGCAACACAATTGGTGTGGACGCTCTTAAACAACGCTTCAAATGCGAGAGAGTAAAATGATAGCTTTTTCTGTCAGTAATTAATTCCAGTTGTTGCAGCGTTCATTAGCCAAAGCATTTAGAAACAGTTTATATAATTTCATAAATAAATTTGCCTGTTTAGCTGTTTTGCAAATTTAGCTGTTATGCAAACATAACGCTTATTACTTGTTTGAAAAAGTAATGTAAAATCCGATTATAAAACTGTTGTACTATATTTTGTGAATGCAAAAGCAATAGCGCATTCTATAGTTTATCAACAAAAAAGTTTCAATCGATTCTTATATTTAATTTAATAATTTGACAAAAACGTATGACCTAACGAGATTAATTTTAATATTTTAAAAAGTGACTGGCGATACTGTTTTTATAAAAAAATAGAAAATTGTCCCGAATATAAATTTTCAAAATAATTCAAGGTAATTCAGAAAGAATAAAATAAACGATATAAAAATATGTATTACGTCGTGATAATATTGTTATATATATTCATCTGTTATATTTTTATTAATTAAGAAATATGTAGTATTGCGTAGTGTTGATTTCTTCTTTAATCAGACATTAGTATTTTCTATTGTTACATATAATGTGGCACTTATGAATTGTCCAATAAATATTTCAACATAATTTTGAATTATTTCCGCAAAAATTTGTACGGATATAGAGTATAATAAAAAAAAAAAAAAAAAAAAAAATAGCAAAATGAAAATAACCGATCTGTTATTTTGTAGATTGAAGATACTATTATTTTCCACGTCCCCTCTCTCTTTCTCTTTCTTTCTACCTCAATCCTATCCCCTACCCTGTTTCGTCCCGAGGACTCTTTTATGAGGGAAATCCTTTCTCTCCTCGACATCCTAGATAAGAATCTACAAGGCAATGTCGTAGCTAAAGGAATATTTAGGACATCTGCGCGCGAGATGGCTCACGAATAGAAAGTCGACATTGGAGATGAATGTAAGCGCCTCTGAATCAATTTAAAAGCGACTTTTTATAAATCTCGGACTAATAATCTTCTTATATTAGCGCGATTTTCGCGATAAAATATAAAAATTAGAAGAAAAGCATTAAATGCATTGTAGAATTCATATTTTTCTTTATCGCAAAAGGATAGAGATTATTGTTAAAGATAAGAAAGATATTATCGCAAAGAGTAAAATAATTATGAGCTGTTTTTTCTTTTGGCAAGAAAGCGGCTTTAAATATACTTATAAATAATATAAATATACTTTTCTTGAACGAGAAATGAAAAATTCATCTCGACATATCGACTTTTCCGTCTTTGTCACACTCTTGCGTAATATCTCTTTTTTTTTTTCTTTCCTTTGCATTCCCTTTTTTCCCCATACATAACATTCTCGTTCTCCCTCTCTCTTTCTCACTGTCTTTAGATATACTTATGTACAGACTGCGAACTGCGAATAAATGATAACTTACGCACTATCTTACTTTGCGACAACATTCACTGTCTACTGGGAGTACCCTAGATTCTTCGCACTCGTCCAGGTGCTTTCAATTCGTTCACATCGTGCGATATTTCACATTTTCATCTTTAACAATTGATGTGATGATAGATCTAGAAAATAATTTTGTAAAATAATACAAATAATAATCGCTTTCTCACACAAACCATTTATGGAATGTGAAGTAACGATAAAGCATCTCATAAAATCTATTTCGAATTATATACGCTTCATCACTTTGAAGAATTTCATTGTATATTCTTTCACTAACAAAAATTATTTTAAAAGCTCGTATTATCAGACGATAAAATCGATAAAAATCAATTTTCTGTTTATCGTTATCAAAGTTAATTTTTTAACCATTTCAGAATCGCGGTAACGCGGGAACACCCGGTAGGCAGCGAATAAGAACGAGATTAACTTAATAATATGCCGAATGCCGTGTGTATTATACATATGTACAGGACAAACACAAAAGCGTACGATGTAAGAGGAGCGTATAATTACGGGAAATTAATTAGCGAATCGAATCTATGAAGTGGTGGAAGGAGAAGGAGCAAGGGGTGAGTTGCATTCGCTTCGTGTTCCGTGTGCACTTCGCGTAAAAAGGAAAAAAAAAAAAAAAAAAAAAAGAAGGAAAGAAACGCTGCTTTAAAGCTGCGATTTATTCCGGTCGGGCAAAAAATGGGAAAGTATGGCGCCAAGTATGATGATGGGACAGAAAAGCTGGCGGGATTTTTCGCCCGATGTTTACTTATGGAAATAGTGGTAAACACAAGCCGGTCTAGCCGGCTTGTCCCGCGTGAGTTTTTACGAACTGGGAAAGTAAAATGCTAATATGTCTTTTGCTATTTTCTTCGGAAACGTCATCATCGCTTCGGCATTCTTTGACTTTCACGGATATTTTCGAAGTGAAATATTATTCTTTCGCAAGAAAAATAGAATCGAAGATTTTTCAAGGATAGATAAACAAACATGTTTATAACTAGAAATTAATTGAACAATTTTAAATAAACGTATATTTTTTTTCCACATCTTAATTAGCGTTATTAAATACCGTTCGCTTTGAAAATGACAGATCAATTAATATAAAAGCAATATTGAATATAAAAGCAATATATTAATTCTCTGGTTATATCATGTAAGCAATATATTTCAATATTTTTCAAATAATAATTAATTATGAGACGCGTTGTGGCTCTGCGAGTTAGCGCGAGGCTCGTAAGTCAGAAGTCCCGGTTTCAAATCTCGATCTCGACCGACTATGGCGTTCAGCAGAAAAAGTAGTTTTGCAACTGTTGTAAAATCCTTTAATATGATTGTTTATACATTTAGATGTATTCATGAGGAACTATGGGCAAAAATCAATCATATCAAAGATTTTTACAACAATCGCAAAGCTGCTTTTTCTGCTGAACGCAGCCAATATTTTATAAGCAACGGCTCTCTTTTACAGAAGTCTGGCAAACCGCCAGACCTCCATAGAGTAATTCCGCCGAGAAAAATCCTATTGACTGTTCGGAACCGGCATAAAACAGTAGGTTCCATATATCCGTGTTAACAACACGCGCACCACGAATGTATGCGAGGATACCCAGAAGGCGACGCCAAAAAACCGGATATATACATATATATATATATATATATATAATTATGCATAGAGTAAATCCAGTATTAATGCCACATAAGTTAAAAAAAAAGAAGAAGAGAGAATAATTTGAACACCCCTGTTATATATTTTTTATATTATATTAGTATTGTATTGTGATTTGTATTGTGATTAGCTTTTTATGTCTATTAATATTAATGAAATCATCGTGAATTAAATCGATTTGTCAATGTAACTATTGCAATCCATGTAAAATGATTATTATAGAGATAATGATTATTATTGTAGAGAATGTAAAAACTTAATGGTTACTTTGTGATATAGATATAGAGAGATGACGTAAGTTCTTTCATGAGAAGTATAGCAAAATGCAAGCTCTTGTATTTTTTTGTTCAGTTTTGATATCTTATATATCCTATCTATTTGGATATATAACATTTTAACACGTAGAATTTATTTTATACCGCAGTACGGACACTCTATAAGCATTTACGCTTGCGCAGAGCACATAAAGTGTACGTATTTATCCATTTTTATCTATACGTTTTAATCTTTTCGATATTTGCATTTGCAACAATGCGCACAAAGGTATTGAAGATAATTAAATAATAATAAGTATTAATAATGATAATAATCTAGCAATATAATAAGAATGACAATAGATAATAATACTGTCTAGATAATATCAAAATGCCGATATTTTATGGCCTTTGTAAAACAAGCTGAGGTGATTGGACACAAGAGAATCTTTTCAAGAGAATCTTGAAAAAGAGCCAAAGATCTAAAATATATATATAGATATATATGATACACACACATATATATATAAGCGTTATTTCTAAATTTTTTATAAGCTGTATATTCTACATTCAGAATGATTGTATATCCCACCCTTTTGGAATATATAATAAAAATTCAAGAATCTTAAAAAGTTCTTTTTTTAATAAAAAATAAATATTTTGTATTCTCTAATATTTTTTTTGACAATAGTAGACAGTATAAAGTTTTTACTTATCTTAAACAGAGTAAATAATATATGAATTCTTGATAAATTAAGTTTTCAATAAATGCGGCACATATACCGGAGTTACCCTATTTCCCTATTTCTGCAAAAATCGGGGTTCATTTACGGAATTAAAAAAATTCTTTTGAATGCCGAAGCAGACGCGACAAGATTTGACAGGTGACTTCATATTTGACGCTCTTCATACGCTCTAAAACACACACCGAGAAAAGCTCAAGAAGGATGCAACAATTTATCCGCGGAAGGCTTTCCTCCTTTATTTATTTGGACATTATATCGGATCGTCAAGAAATTATCGTCGTGATAAATAAGACATCTCCGACGCGCTATTTAATAATTAACTTATCAATACATTTATATATCATTCTAAATTAATTATTAAGTATCGCCACTACCTTTGAGTAATTTTGCATTGTTTTCACAATGTGTTAAGTAAACTTTAACCTCACTTTTCCTTCTCATCCTTTTCAGCGATAATAATTTATTGGCGATCCAAATTTCGGCAGCAAGCCACTCGAGTAGTACTTTGATCGATCGCAAATCTTGCGCCTCACCGATGTGCATTAAGTCTTCTCTTGGCTCCTCTTGCTCTGAGTGCTTGGGGCCCAAGGTCACAAGGAATGGTACTCGCCCAGCACGAGGCCGCTGTGGTAACTCGCGTGCGACGTGGACATCCCCATGGAGCCCATACCCTGATAAGCGCCCATGCCCATGCCGTTCATCGACATGGTGTTCATGGTGTTGACCCCCTGCATGGTGTTGGACAGCATCGTCGAGGGGCCCATAGGGCTCAGCCCGCCCATGGAAGGAGCGATCGCGCCCATCTGCATCGACGTCGCCGTGTGCGGCAGGGACTTCTGCAGATCCGCGGAGGTTGGCGTGCCGATTAGATAATCCTATGCCAATGCAAACGATGACATCTATATTTTTCCGATACGTTTGCTTTGCACTCGTAAATTTTAAGAAAAAGCCTGGAGTTATTATATTTTCAAAAAAATTTGTATACGAAGTGTTCCGGTCACTATCACATTTCCTTTTGAACGACGAAGTCCCGAAGTAATATAGAATCTTCGAGAAATTCCTAGAATCGAAAATCTTAATACGAAAACGATTTTCAAATTATAATTGATTAAGGGATTTCAATTGAGCTGTTAAATTACGCGCGCTCATGCATGTATAATGTACAGTGGAAAAAGGGACACACTTGGAATTTGGAATTTCTTAAAAAGAATGCGGTAATGGTGGAACACTCTATATATGCACGTATATATATATATATATATATATATATATATATA